TGTCTGGGAGTACTGCAGCGGTTGAAAGGGGCTTTGCAGCAATAAACTTACAAAAAAACACAATACGTACTGGTCTTAAACAAGAAGCTTTAATAGCAATTATGAACATCTACCTAAATGGAAAACCCCTTTCAGATTTCTGTTCAGAAACCTCTGTAAATCATTGGCTTGATTATGGAACTGGCAAACGTCATATTCGATTCATTTAAAAAGCGCAGTACCCTCGGATAACTTGACATTCCAGATAACTTGACCTTTGTCGTTTTAATTATTTCATAAAAGAAATAAATTATTTCATAAAAGAAATACTAGGTTACTATTAGTAACCTAGTATTTCTTTTATTACTGTATAATGTAATCCTAGTAACGATTAATTCATTGTGCAATTTATTTAAATGTTTGTAATAATTATGAGAAAATTATATTTTTATTTATTTAAAAGCGTCGGGTTAGTTTCAACGGAGGACGGGTGCATTGTTGGACAAGCAGTCCTCGGGGACGGATAAAATTTCTGAGCTTTTTCGAACCCTGTGTTACACCAAATGTCTATTTTTTTCTACCCTGAGTAAAAAGGCGAAGCATCTACGAACATTTGTAATTTTGAGTTTATACTATGGAAGGTAGAAATGACCTCAAATAAAATTTTATTTCTGTTCTTAACTGCAACTTTCAGTGAAAACATAATTTTACTACAAGTGTTAAAAGTTTGCAAATGGATTCATTGGTTCAGTGCATCACTTCATTTCTAGTTATTGAATGTAACGAAAAGGCGAATCGATAGATGAATCAGTGAATCAACGAATTATCAATTCAATGAATTAACAAATAATTGAATCTGCTTTAAACAAATTGAAAATTATCAAATAAAAATATGAACGAATTAGTAGGTTTACGAATATATGAACAGTAATAAAGAGGCTGAATGAAAAAACAAGTTAAACGAATCAATTTTTCAGTGAAACAGCGAATCATTGAAAAATGGAATATGTGGTCAAAGAATTACTGATTTGTTGATCAGCTTTTTCTGTGATTCACTTGTTCCCTGATTTATTGAACTGCTTATTCGTTCTTTCATTCAGTTGCTAATTTTTCACTATCTTAATTTATTGATTTGTTAATTTTCCGATTCGTTAATTCAATGATACGCTCGTTGATTTGGTTATTCCTTGATTCGCTTTTACTTGTTATACGTGTTATTCGACTAGTTAATTTTATTTTACGTGTAGTATAAGCGAGATCTAACTGAAAGTTGCAGTTGTTGGCCAGAATAAAAATTTACCTTGGATTGCGTTTTATTTATTTATAAATTGCACGAAATTTCGAATTCTCAGATGCGATTCGTTATGGTAACAAATGCGTCTAACTACTGTATTATCCCAAACTCTATAACACGTTGTGGATAATAACATGTTAAACATGCGTTGTTATAGGACCCTGAAGATTATGGCGTCATAACTGTTAATGTAAAATGAAACGCGAGTATAATTATGCGTGTGAAACTGGTTGAAAAATCTTTGATGATTAAGTCGGCGCAGAAGCTTCGAACTGGTCAGTGGCATACACAGTAAAATGCACCTTCCAGTAATATTTGTTTATTTAATCTGGCCAAGGCACCTTATAGGTCATGAGACTCAGACGCATCTGCATCTAATGCATATTTGTGTTAATTAATTAAAATATGCAAGGATTTCACAGAACTTGAAGATTGATTCTTTTTTGTTTCTATTATTTCTAGCAAATTTGACATTGATTCACTAATTACGTTATTTGATGATTTTAGGATACTGCCCTTTTAGTATGCAGACAGCCGTTGTGAGCAAAAGGTTAATTATGTTATTTTTATTCGTCTTCAAAATCTGGATGATATTATTTTTAAGTTCGGTGTGATTCTCTATGAACAAGGATCGGATCACGAGGAAATTCTCATGACGAAATTTGCTTAGCAATTTCAAACCTCAAATTTATTTTGTTGTCTTTTTTGGTCTTAGAATTTTACCTTTTTTTTATTTATTTATTTCACTCTGAGCACACCTCGGGCACATTACACCTCACAGTGATTACGACTAGGTTACTGGGCTGTACTTTTTTTACGACTCTTAAAAAATAATTAAGTTTTTTTTTTTTTAATATTGAGACAGTGTGAAATAAGGGAAAAAATTGAGTTTAAAGTTAACAATTACGCGATTTGCTTTTTATGTTTTATTTTTACTGCATCAGTTCAACATTTATATTTACATTATTTTTAAAACTTTTATTATAATAGCCAAAGGAATGTTATCTGATTAGACAAACTTAATGAAATAAAAATTTATTAAGATTAACTTTAGAATAAATTGCATGTTTTTCAGAATACATAAATTTATTGCCCCCAACCAATGTTTTATCAGCAGCTTTTGCTAACTTTTTTCAATGACAGAAAATAAGTGTTGAAACGTCTGCAGCAATCACGTTTTTTTTAATTTTTTTACTCTCTGCTGAAGTTGATGATTAAAATAATGAATATTTTGCTAGTAGCGTTAAAATATAAGGTCGAAATTAGAAGTTCACAATTTTCAAAAAACAAAGATCTTAAAACGTTTTCAATTTTTAGGAACATTTTTTTATTTTTATGAACAAATTAGTATTTTATTTGCTCTAAAATAATTTTTAAAAAAAAATTTCGAATGAGAAATGAAGATTTGTTTAGTTTTATTAATCATGCCTGTGGCCCCTGGAGTCACTTGGCTGTATTCAGTTTCCTCTTTTTAGGCTCTGGCACCTTAATAAATAATTTTAGTTTTCAGCTTTAAAAAAATATTTTTGAATTTCGAAATTCAAATCAAAACCTCATCCCGCACAGTTCATAAAATGATGTGAGTTCTGATTGAAGTGAATATTCAGGCAAATAAAATTTTACCAGTCGTCTTCCTGCAAATCTCAGGCTCTTATGTCAAAATTGCTTTTGTCCTGCTTCTCCAAAATCGGACACTTTTCTCAAAATTGCTTCTGCTGCTCTGCTCCAAATCAGTCACTGTTTACATAATTGCTTTAGTCGTGCTGCTCCATATCAGGCACTGTTATGCACTAGTCGTGCTGCATTAAAAGTGCTACCAAAAAATAATTTCTTGTTGTGAAAATATGGAATTGCCAATTTTAGTTGAGTTTGTATAATTAAATTTACCTATTTGGCAATTAATAAAGAAAAAAAATGTTTACTCCTTTATCACAAATTGTCCAATCACGTGTAATCCATAGTTTGATAATTATGCTTTTATATGTAGAACTCCAATGATAACGTTATATTTTTTTAGTTTTTCCATAATTTGCTTTAATTTTATATCGTTTTAATTTTTTCCACTCAGAATTTTTCTCGGAACATGCACTATATAAAATCATATGCTTAATTTTCTCCTAAAGATTTTGCAAGAAATTCGACATTGAAACTCAGGAAATTGCTACACCCTGCTTTATGGAATACACCATTTCGGGAATATCCGTCTATGCTTTTATTCTATTTTCCCTTCCTTTTCCATCCGTGTATGACCGAGAGGGCTTGTCAATTTCACCGAAACTACTAACATCCTGCGTTTTGTGTTCCATTATTCCTTACCTCTCCACCTTTCCTCGCTGTCTCGGTCTTATTCGCTCGAATTTTATTACGCGGAGAGGCGCGGAATCCACGGACCGGTTTCTGTCTGTCGGAAAGATAGGATCATGTGACCGGAAACTTTACCGGATGTGCTTAGTAACGCAGGTTTTTCTTTCTCGACTCCCAGCTTCTTCTGCTATCCAGTGTAGGTGTGCATAAACTTCATTATTTAAAAATATTTCATTAGCTCTATTAAATAATAACGATATCTGAATTATTTATCGTCCGCCGCTGCTTTGTTTACCGTTTGCAGAATCGTTTGCTATTCAAATCCTCAATCTGAGGTTCCACCTTGTGTCTGTTGTGAGATTTCTTGAAGCGCTTCGTTTTTGTGGCGTGCCTTTCTTTACCTTGATGGTTTACATTTGTGAAGTTCTATTTGAACGATGCGTTCCGTTGTAATGACGAAGCCTTTTGCTGTGAGTATATTTTGATTTTCTATTGTCTTCAATGTAAGGTGTTAGTACATTGTTTGTTTACCTGTGTTGTATCAGTGCAGTTGAAATTTTCTGCCAAGACGTTTGGATTTACCTGATGTTATTATTTTATTTGTTATCTTTTATATTTAAAACTTGCGTTTTTTTTATAGAGATACTTGTAAAACTTCAAGTTTTTATTGAATAATTTTCATGTATGGATTTAAATTTTTCGAGGCATTGGCTATTTCGATAAATTAACGGAATATTAAAAGAATGAAAAAATGTAATTACACCAAAATGTGTGTAAAATAAAATTTACAAATGAGAAAATGGATTTTATAAATATTTAATTTTTTTCGTTAGCTTATTGGAAAAATAATCCTTTTCTAAACATATTTTGTGCAACAGTTTTTAAGTTGTTAAAATGTGATTAGAATTATTAAATGGGTTATATGTATTATTGTTGTGCTTTAATTGTGCGGGTGCACTGTTAGTTTACCTATGTTTTAGAGGTGCAGTTGAAATTTTCTGGAGAACTTTTCTTACCTCATGTTATTAAATGCCTAAATTATTAATTTATTTCTTTTTGTATAAGTCGTTTCTATGAGAAGACAAGTCTGATTTTAAGTGTCTAATTTTCATCTATAAATTTCAATTTTTAAATACTTTTTTATTAAATTAATAATCGTATGTTTTAAAAATAAAGCAGTTCATTAACATTTATAACTGAATTAATTAGAAAATAAAATAACTACACCAGAAAATGTTATTTTTCTTCCTCAATCCATGCAAAATAAGTATTTTTTTGTGCCATAATTGTTGAATAGTGTATTAAAAATTAACAAATTATTTAATGGACAAATATATTGATATTCTGCAATATTGGTAGGTCCTTGTTTATTGCAGAATGCAGTTTGTATTGATTTGCTGAATTGTATGCTAAAAATAAAAACTATGTTCATTGATAGCTAACATTTGGAATTACTGATATTATTTCTCGATGCCTTTTCATATGATTATTAATTGGAAATAAACAGGGTTGGGTTTTTGACGTCAAAAAGTGGTTTTTGACATGACAAGGGTATAATACTGGTTTAAACCGTCAAAAACCCGTCAAAAATGTCAAAAACTGAAGTTTNAAAAGAAAAACCCAAATGTCTCATATGCACGATATAAATAAAATTTGTAGTGATTGTTGATGTTTTTATCAAGTCAACTTATCAAAAGTTTGCATTTTTATAAACTAGTTTACATTTTTATTTAATTACATTTTTAGCATGCTTTTAGTTTATGTCTCTTACATTATTTGAGATGCTAGTCGCTGTAGTTTATGTTTTGAAGATGCTAGTTTTTTATATCTATTCTTGGGTTGCTATTTGTTTCAGTCTGTTTTTAATTTATCTCTTAAAATTTTTAGGTTGCAATTCTTTTTAGTTTATATCTGATTACATTTATTATGATGCCGTTCTTTTTTGTCTATTTTAATTTATACCCAATAACATTAGTTATTGATGCTAGTGTAGTCTATATTAATTTGTACCTAATTATATTTTTATGATGTTCTTTTTTTGTCTCTTTTAATTTATACCTAACTTCATAATGATGTTGTTCTTTTTAGGTTATTTTAATTCATGCAATATTACTAATGATAATGCTGATTTACTTTAATAACGATGCTGCAATGTACTAGTTAAATCAGCATTATCATTAGTTACCATAACATTAGTTATTTATAATGCTGATTTGCTTTTTTTCCCTTCTAGACTATGAAGGGTTTGTGTATGAAATTATGGTTTCTATAAACCTAATTTCATAATGATGTTGTTCTTTTTAGGTTATTTTAATTCATACATTATTACTAATGATAATGCTGATTTACTTTAGTAACGATGTTGCAATGTACTAGTTAAATCAGCATTATCATTAGTTACCATAACATTAATCATTTATAATGCTGATTTACTTTTTTTTCCTTCTAGACTATGAAGGGTTTGTGTATGAAATTATGGTTTCCTGTACGAGCTTGCTGATGATGATTGTAGTGAGCTGGATAAAATATTCCTACCATGTCTGCCAAAGGTAGGGAATGTGCTCAACAGCATGGATACAGGAGACAGTGTGCGATCCTTGGATAACATTAGTGGATCTCTTATTGGAAATAATTTAACTTCTGACATTTTACGGGCACGTGCAAAACAGTATTACAACAACTGCCATCCTCATAATCAACGGCCTGCATACCAGAACAATGCAATCCACAAATGTGGTAGTATGACTCATATTAATGGCTTTGTGAATGGAATAAAAACCCCAACAAAGCATGAACAAAATAACCGCCAAGCTGTGACTTCCTCCAAATATCAGGCGCCACCCAAATACAGAAGTGACCGTCCTCACCGATCACACAGTGAAAGATCCAACAAATCTCCGAGCGAAAATCACAACTACATGGTGGCCAATAATGGTATCTCAACAGCCAAAGTTGGCCTTTACCGGAGTAATAGCAGCCTGGATCTGGATCACAGCCAAGAGATGCTGGAAGAGCGGTCTGGGCATTTGAGACGAGATTACGGCAGCGCCTCTTCTCTCGACCTGATCAGTGCTACTGGCGAAAGCTTCTTTGCGATGCTGAGAGAGTTTAGGAGGGACAATTTTGATCAAAGAAGTCCTGGCCCAGCTAGAATTCAAGAGTTCCTCAAGGGAAAGCTCGATCCGACCCCGTCCACCCAGAACGCATCTAACTCATTGGCTAACGGTCCAGAATCATTTGAAGAATCCAACAGTCCTAAACTAAAGACTAAGTTTCATAAGTTGTGGGATATCAAAGACAGGAATAAAATGAAAAGTAAAATGTTAAGCAGTGAGCCATCCATATTCAAAAAGCTGCGTGGTACAAAATCTGACATGGCGGATTGCACCGGTAAAGGATCTGATAACTCGTTAGATGCCGAACTCCGCGTCGAGGACAAGATGCGGAGGAAGGCTTTTGCCCACTACGATTGTGACAGTGTTATTGCTAATCTAAGCTATGCATCCAGACTGAGAAGCTTACTGAGTAAGCGACGCAATACCACTACCGGTGCTTCTGCTGCCAACCGATCGCAAAGTAATCTCGAAAATTTAAATCCCGAGGAGACTGACCCTGGTGACGGGCAGAGTAATGAGCTGTTGCTTAGTTGCCCGTTCTTTAGAAATGAATTGGGTGGTGAAGAGGAACGTGTGATTAGTTTAAATAGGACTACTTGTAAAAAGCAAAAACCACCTGATGATGCCTTTGGAATATCTCCCACAATTCATAAACCTAACATGGCTTATGGATTATCAGTGCTTGAAAAAAGTGGTACCTCTAGGTGGAATCAGAGATTCTGTCCGTACCAACGTCATCCACTTCAAATGGAAAAAGTTGGTGCTGGTGCATTGTATTATAGATTATTTTTCCATGGTCAAGGTAAGTTTTGTAGCATACTCAATTTAATAATTGGCTATGGTTTTATTATTTTGTTAATTAACTATATATAGTTCTTTTTGAGGATTATTGTATTTAAAATCTATTTACATTATCTTAAATTTTTTCAGTTTGCCACATAGGTTAGTTAAATTTTTAACTTCATGAAATTTGTTGATAACAAACATTAATTTGTTTATTATTTTTTGTTACTTGCTGCCTAAATTGATATTTTTTTAGGGCAGTGATTCTCAACCTTTTTTTTGCTGTGGCACACTTTTAACGATTTCGAAATTTGACAGCACACAATGAAAAAAATTAGATTAAAATTTGTTTAATTACCTATTTTACACTGTGTTAAATAGTTTGTGATAATTTCGAATGTGAAATAAAATAATATGTACTACAAAAGCACATTTATTAAGGGATTAATTATTTCTTTCGATCAATTTTTTATTAGTTAGTATCAGTTATTTATTTTTTTGCTAGTTATTAATTGTTAGCTAGTTATTATTTTTGTTATTATTTTTTGTTACTTCAGTTATTATTTTTTGTTATTATTTTAAATCCCGATTTTTTGTTATTATTTTAAATTTTCAGTTATTATTTTTCTAGTTATTATTTTTTCTTACTTCATGAACTTGCTGCCTAAATTGATATTTTTTTAGGGCAGTGATTCTCAACCTTTTTGCTGCCGTACACTTTTAACGATTTCGAAATTTGACGGCACACAATGAAAAAAATTAGATTAAAATTTGTTTAATTACCTATTTTACACTGTGTTAAACNAATCGCCGATAAAGATGTTCACGCGGTTAAAGCGTGGAAAAATTACAAAAAGTATGTATATATATAATATTATATACACTTTTCCTTAATTTAAGCTTTACTCATAGTAAAAAAAGCATTATAATTTTTATTGTATCATTTCTAATATTTGGCGGTACATTTTAAGAATTTTGCGGCACACAAAAGTGCCGCGGCACATTGGTTGAGAATCACTGTTTTTGGGTCATTATAATGGAAAAGTATCTTTGTTTTTCAAATTGAAATTAAATTCATTCTACATTCATTCATAAGGTCCTACGTGCATTTTACATATGATTTTCATTTAGTAGATTATTTTTTATTCCTATCTTCTTGCTAAGACTTTATAAAATTATATTTTTATGGTAGCTTATCTATACATATAAAATTTCTTTTGGTCTTTGTATCTTTAAAGTCAGAGTTAATAGAACTTATTGCAACTGTTATGATGTTATTATTTAGACTTAAATTACTTTCATAACAGCTAAATAGAATTAAAAATCAATTTGAAATGGAGAAAAGTAAAAATGTTTTATTAAGAAATAGATATTTAGGGGAAGATTTTCATATCTTAAACTAAATAATCGCAAAGCCTTGTCAGCTGCCCACTATAAACTAAAAGAACAAACATCATAAAGACCAACTCAAGAAGTGAAACTTTTAGACTACATATTTTTCTTTTAAAAATGTGCTAATTTAAAATCTATTCAGCAAATGAAGTTGGTGCAACAGATATCGATACTGAAATAGTTCTTATTTAGGTTATTTTTCTGAATAGGAAAGTCAGAATATGAGTATTTGCTAGTAAAGCCTTATGAATGTACATCTAATTTGCACAAATTCTTTTGTGGGTTGGTTATTTTGTTTGTTTTGGCCAGATTTACATTTAACTTAAATTCATAAAGTTAGTCCATAATTTTATTTAATTTTCTCTGTTATTGATATTTACAAATTAGTCAGTAAAGTAAAAACAATAATGGTGATTGAGTAATTTAATAGCAAAAACTATTTTGGTGACTAATTTTTTAAAGAAATTATTTTAAGAACAATTATGATTCCTAATGTTTTTGTGAAAACTGTAGAAATGTTCTTTTTTTCTTCAAATTTATTTAAAAAGGACTCTACTGTGTGATATTCACAGAGCTCATTCTAGGTAGAAAAAAGGGCATTATTATTCTAAAAAGGCAATAATTTCTTTCTATGGGCTGTACACGTTTTATTAAACAACATTGTAAATTAGTGAAAGAATTTTTTTTTTAACTTTTCCAATAGTAGCAAAGCAATCATATTAATAACTAATTTTTATTAATAAATTAGCATTTATATTGATCTAATTAGCTTAGTAGTAATTCATTTAAAATGCATGTATATATTAATAAAATAATAAATGTATGTTTTTAAGTGTCTGTAGTTATGATTTAATAATTAAAATCAAATCATTAATAATAATTATGATTTAATCATAGTGGAAGTAACTGCAAACTTTCAAAGACAAGTACAAGGGGGTGTGATGGCTATTTTTCCTTTTCCATACAAATCTATGTATTGACAACAATGACAAACTAAATAAAAAGAGTTAAAAATAACAAAAGTTTAAGAAATCCTTGCAGAGTTTGGAGAAAAAAATAAAGGGTTGAGAAAAGAAAGAACAAAAAGGGTATGGAGTCTATTACATCAGGGCACTAATTTACTTCAGGGGCAACAGGGTGGATTCTTTTGACTAAAAGGGCATCAGGGTGCTGCGCCCTGTTTACCCTGCCTAGAATAAGCTCTGATATTCATTTTATATAAAATTAAAGTAAATTATTTTAAAATTTTCTATGTAAGAATTTTATGTTTAATATCCAATTTGTGCTAGTGTTTAAAATGTGAAAAAATTGTTTCGTTCCGAGAGTTGAGTTAAAGTTTATTTAATTTTTATAGTTGATGCTTTTTTAATTTTTATAGTAAAGTTTATTTAATTTTTATTATTTAACCATTATAATCAAATTTTAATTTTTTTTCTTGTAAATTTGAGGAATTTGGTGATATTATTTTGAAATTCAATGAAGTATTCACCTACTTACTCCTATTTAATTTTCTTTCTGATTTTTTACGAATAATTCTACCCAAATTTAAAATGTATCCAGGCAAGAAAAAGCAAGCATACATAAACCCTTTTTCTTTATGAGCATGACTTTGGCTGTCTTAACTGCTCACAATTTCCGACATTTCCTATTCATGGTGATTCCTCTCGAATTTTTTACTTACCGTGTCATCTAGCAAGTCTTTTTTGTGGCTGGAGATGCCTTTAGATTTTTAAAATTGGCTATATTAGCTACATTATTTTAAGCTGCTCTAGGCATGGCCTAGCTTAATGCATCTTTTACTCTGGGTGACCTGTTGCTGCCTTTAAAGCTTATGTAACTCAGTTATCTAATAGCCTCTCTCTAGTGTTAGAGCAAAAATAGTCTTGAGGATTTTTCTTTCATAAATATTCAGGGTATGCTGAGTGTCTGAATTAAGAGTCCAAGTTTCACTTGTGTAGTACAAGGTAGGCAGAATAAGAATCTTACAAATATTAATTTTAGTTTTTTGACTGATTAGGTTTGATCTTCTCTGTCTAAAGAAAATGTCTGTTCGAAGCTCGTTTTTGTCATTGATTTTGATAATCATGTTAAGGTATTTGAATTCATTGACTTTTTCAAAGGTGAGACCATTAATGCATAGAGGCGCACTGTAATTTACAATTGACGGCAAAGATTCCATAGTTATATCTTTATTGATGGCGAGCCCATTTTTGTAGCAGACATTTTGAGGGCTCGAAAGGCCTTTCTTACAGCTTTTTCTGACCTTCCAATAATATCTATGTCATCAGCATAAGCTAATAACTGAATCTATCTATTCTATAGAGTGTCCTATCTGTCTAACCTACTGATACATTTCTCCAATGCTTAGAATCTCTCTGTTGAAAAAAGTTCTAATAGATCTTTATTTGTTTATTTTATTTTTTTTTTGCATATAATTCTACTTTAATTTAAAACTTCTGCAGAAGAACAAACATTAAGTCCATGGGTGCAAGTCTTCTGTCCCCAGGACGGATTTCCGTCTTTCGAAAATGTCCGCGGACGGAAGTAAGACGGAAACAAGACTGACTCGAAGATGGAAATCAGATTTTTTTTTTCTGTCCTTATAAATATTTTTTAGGTCTACGTTATTGGTTTACTTTCTTATGTCCTGTTGTTATTTTTATCAAAAGACAGATGAATAAATATTTTTTGTACAGTATTTAGACTTGATGTATTATGTTAAAGCTTTCTTAGATAGTTTGCATATGTCGAGGGGGTATTGTGTATGTTAGGTATTTCAGTCAAAAAAATTTTCAGTCCTGGCTTTTTTTCCAACTTGCACCCATTATTAAGTCTAATTATCAGTAAAAGCTGCCTAATCTATTGCCTATTATTTTGAAAATATCTATTACATAAAATTAAACTAAATCAAAAACATAACTCTCTTTATTTAATAAAATAATCATATAATACAATCAATCAAACGATTCATATTGTTCTTTATCTTTTTTCAGTTTTATTTCAAAAATATATTTAAACTTGTTGTAATTCAATTCAAGTATTAATTTCGCTTCAGTGTAAGCATAATGTAATGCATAATTATATTTGAGGTTTAGATTTCATTTTAAAACCAAACACTCTTTTCATTTTAAAATATTTTATAAAAATTAAATGAAGTATATTTAAAGTAAGAAATTAAAATAAGAGTATTTTTTATTTCGGAGTTTGTTTTCAACACAAATGTAAACAAAAACAAATCTCCAGCTCTTTGTCATCTCTTCTGGTTAAAAAGTTCACAGCTGCTTACTTGCTGTGCGAAGCGATATTTTCATGCATATAATTTTGTTTTTAATGAAAATAAATAACATATTTTCTGAGATCACATCAAATGTTAATTTCAAATGAACATTTTAAGTAATTCTAGAACATTAAGTTAGAGTTAGAAGAGAAAATTTGTTTTAGTAATATATAGATATATTATTAAAAAAGGGCAGCATGGTTCCTACATTGAAGAAAGAACCTGCTTTTTTGGCAGTTCTGATTTGGCTTTTTTTTTACTTGTTTATTATTTGTTCTTGTTACTCCCAGTGCACCATGCATGACTTTATGACGATACTTGAGTGGCGAGGCAAAGTTTATTTTGCAAATTATCATTTAGATTTAAATTTTGAGACTTGTATATTCTTGAAGGTAAAATTAGTGTTTTATAACAATTCTTTTTCAATGTTAGTTTCAAATTTTTATTACTTCTTAAACTATGTTTACTATTTTTTCATCATTTACGTTCATATTATATAATTGCATGCACAAATTATAAATCAGGTAGCTAATAATACAATGAAAACAAGAGGTGCTACTCAATAGAGTAGTGAACACGTTGAGCCAAATTACCTCAAAACACACTGGATATAGTAACTTGCAAATATGGGATGTAAATCTGTAGCTCTAGCTAATTTAGAAAACACCATCCATTGGTAGTTTTTAAAAAAATCATATATTTTTAATTTTCTCTTTTCTAAAGAACTATTCGAACCAATGGTGGTCAAATTTTAGATTTTCTCATTTAAAATTACATTGTTTAAAATTATGTTATAAGTTTTGTATCTTTCAAAGCAATTTTTTTTCATTCATTATTAAAGTTATTAATAAAATAAATCTAAAAATCAAAATATTTTTAAATGAAAATATTTTATAAATTTGTGTAATTTTTTTATTTATATATATTTTTTTTTATTCTCTTAATTAGTTTCAGAGGTATGATGAAATACGCAGAACAGAAATAAGCATTTAAGTGTTCCAATCCATCAAACCCTCTAGAAAATTTCCTAACTACTAAACATGAATTAGGCCTTAGTATGAACTTCTAAATGTTTTACAATTACCAAACAGTGAACAACTTGCTCATACTTTTTTCAAGCTTTGCATAAAACTGTGTCCAGTCAGCATATGCAGTTAAAACAATGAATACAAAATTGTCAAGCATTATTGTGAATTAACTTTTCACACTATTACTGAATAAGATCTTAGAGGGAAAACATTTCATGAATTTCTATTGTAAACCAATATTAAATAGGAATATTTTTTAAAAATTAGAAGCAAAATTGTAAATAAAGTTGCAACTGAGTAAAATGAGAAGGTTTAAATTTTATTCCAATTATTTTATAATTTTTTTTATAAATAAAAGATTAGTAGAGTAAATATGATGAAAAAGATCATCCTAATTTCTAAGAATACAAATAAGGATTAATAGATTTAAAGATTTTTAATCTATCTTATTTTAATAAATGCTTAAATGTTCTGATTTAGTGACCACATTAGTAATTATGAATGGTTTATGCATTAAGCTTTACCTACAGGATTAATTGTTTAAATTTTTTTGGGAATTCAGTCATTCTATGAAAAGGAAAATCAATTAACAATTTTACATTATCAAATTCTAATGATGATTATAGGGGTCATGTGATGTTTATCCTTTTAGCAAATGCAGTAAAAAATATTGTTAAATGGAGTTTTGTAGTTTCCCAATTATTGATTTCTCTCTTTATATGATTTAAAAAAATATTGTCCAATTATCATTGCCCTAATCATATTATAAAAGTTTTAAATGATGAATTGAGTGATTGTCCATTAAAATTACTTTAGTACAAAAATGTTAAGTAATGTATTTATTATGTTTCCAGTTTGAGGTAATTTATACCTTACTTTAAATTTATTTGATAAAGGTAATTTGTAACAGGGTTACAATTTATATTAATATAAGGAATCAATTTAATTATATATTTGTATGATAGAACATTAATTGATACTGATTATTTTTTATTGCTACACAAATATAAAATTTTTGCCATTTATTGATTTAAAACTGTTATTAGTTACTCAGCATTGATAAAATTATCCATTAACACTTTCTATTCTTTAAGTAATTCTGAATTGAAAAATAGTATACTTTATTATTCTATTGTTGTAAAATTTGCTTTTACAATTAAGATGTAAATATTGAATTATGAGCAAATTATACTTTTCAGTTTGTCATTTGCTTTTTTAAAAAAATAGTGTGGTATGAATACTGTTCCAAAAAAATTTCTGGACTTTTTTTGAAAAATATCACTTTTTTTGCAACGTGTTAATCCTGACTTAAGTTTTTAATTATCTAACATGATGCATTTTAAAGTAAGCTTGGATCTTCCTCTAGTTCCTTTTTTTCTTCAGGGGCCCCTATGGGAGCAACAGATGTTATGATTTCAAATTAAATTACATAGTCAAAATTAGTGCCTCAAAATATTTTTATAGTATTGTATATTTTCAAGATGTCAAATTAACAGTAGGTACAAATTTTCTTGTTAAAGTTACTATGAGTTTCTTAATAATACTACTGTGAAATCACAAGTTATTTGACTGAAATTTATTTTGTTCTTAATTCAACTTGTCACTCATCTTTTAGGATTTGTTACCTAGTAACAGTAGTTTTTATTTATTTCTCTTTTGGTCCAAAATAGTGTAAAAGTTAGTTATCAGTTCTATACTAATAAATACTTATGTTTTTGCTTATTATCTGTTTTTTTTTTTCTGTTCTATAATTACTCATTCACTTATTTATTTATTACAGATCATCAGAACTGGTTTGGTAATGATGAAAATCTTGGGCCTGTTGCAATCAGTATTAAGCGTGAGAAAATGGAACATACAGACAATAGTGCAAAAAACAGTACTGGTATTGTCACACATTACCAGTATAGGCTTATCGTTCGAACCAGTGAAGTAAGATCTTCTAAAAACTGTTTAAATTTATTTTTTAATATTACTTATCTTATACTGGCGTTATAAATGATTAGAATTACACATAATGCTTTTAAGGTGCACAGTTGTAGTTAGAATTTTCTCTTATTTAATGATAAAATTTTATTTATTACTAATTGCATGATATGCAAGCTTTTTTTTTTTACTGTTAGCAGAAAGTTTTTTTGTAGAAAAAAGTTATGTTCATAAAAAATCTACCATATGGTGATAAAAAATCCATAATGCTGACAATATTACATAGTCGGGATGTTTCAGTACTGTTTGTTCTAACTGGATCGATGACAAGTCTGTTTATGTTAGTTTAAAAGATTACAGTTAAAATGCTTTTATATTTGAGTATTGTCCTATTATCCTTTACCTACCTTCAGAATTTTGAACTTGTGAACTGATTATGGCAATGCATACTTATTGATATTAATATTATTTATAGTATCTTAAAATAATGCAAATGAAGATAGAGCTATATTTTAAACACTGGCTGTTACTTACCAACTTATCTGCCTTTAAAAATGTCTAGATTTAATATTAGACACTTGTTTCTGGCACTATATGTTTGCCAGACACTTTACTTAAAAATTGTGTGTTTTTTTTTAATTATTATTATTGCTGGAATATATATATATATATATGANACCAGTATAGGCTTATCGTTCGAACCAGTGAAGTAAGATTCTCCAAAAAAAAATTTACATTTATTTTTTAATATTTATAGCCTTTTAATGTGCACACTTTTAGTTTGAATTTTCTCTTATTTAATGATAAAATTTAATTTATTTCTAATTGTATAATATGCAAGCATACAAGTTTTTTTTTACTGTTTTCAGCAATTTTTTTTGTAGTGAAGTTTTTTTTTCATGAAAAATCTGCCATATGGTAATAAAAAATTTATAATGCTGATAAAATTGCATTGTCAGGATATTTCTGTACTGTCTGTTCTAACTGGATCACAAGTCTGGATATGTTAGTTTAAAAGATTACATTTAAGATGCTTTTATATTTGAGTGTTGTCCTGTAATCCTTTACCCTGCCTTCAGAATTTTCAACTTATAAACTGCTTATGATATTACTTACTTATTGATATTAATACCATTTATAGTATTTTAAAATAATGTGAATGAAGATAAGTTGTTTGATTTATGCTGTATTTATTATACTGAATTCTCTCAGTATCATAAACAAAAATTTTAATTTTAGTGCTATATTTTAAACACTGGCTGTTTATTACTTACCAACTTATCTGCCTTATAATGTCTAGATTTAATAATAGACACTTGTTTATGGCACGGTATGTTTGCAAGACTCTTAACTTAAAAATTGTCTCTTTTTTGAATTTTTATTACTAGAATATATTTTTAGTGCTAGTACTGAAATATTTTGCTTTAAATTATTATCGCTATTTTAATTTTTTTTTTTTAGACAGTGACTTGGAAAGTTAATACTATTAACTAAAGAAATTTCTTTTGTAGAAAAATTATATCAAATTTTTCTTAATTTGTTTATTGTACTTTGTGTAGCTCCTTGTGATGCGAGGTACAGTGCTGGAAGATTCCGTGCCTACAATTGCTAGATCAAATCAGCCAAGGCTCTGCCATGCCAAAGAAGTAATAGAATATATTGCACCCGAACTTCATCTTCCCTGCTTACGGCTGGCCGTTGGTGGAACACAAACAGAAGATCATCTTCTTAGGCTGGATGAGCAAGGGGTACTACTATCATTTAACTTACTTTTTTCTTTCAATTTAAGTATAGCACGGCCGCAATGGTTCAGGGTGTAGAGCGTTCGCCTTCCAATGAGGCGAACCAGGTTCGAATCCCAGTCAATATGAATTCCGCATTCGGCTTGCACTGACCACAGTGCTGACAAGTATTTTCCTGAGTGGTCGACGGATCATGGGTTAGAGTCCCCTTGCCGTTACGCTAACCATGGGAGGTTTTTATGGTTTTCCTCTCCATGTAATACAAATGCGCTTTAGTTCCATCAAAAAACCCTCCACGAAGGCAAATTCTCCAATACTTGATCCAGGAGTTCCCTTGTCTTTTGGATTGGGTTCAAAATTACAGGGCTACGGAGTTGAACATTAGAAGTCGTAAACCCAAAAAATTGGGTTCAACAATAAATTATAACTGGTAAACTGGTTCAACGACGGTTATGAAATAAAATTTAAGTATAGCAAGTGGTGACTCAGGGGATAGAGTGCTCTCCTCCTTATGAGGTGACTCAGGTTTGAATACCAGCTCTAGTGTTTAGTATGAATTCTGTTTCCGGCTCTCTCTGATCACAGTGGCGTAAAATATCCTCAGTGGTAGACGGATTCTGGGTTAGAACCCCCTTATAGTTGGGCTAATCATTTGAGGTTGATAGTGGTTTTTCTCTCCATGAAATGCAGATGCGGATTAGTTTCATCAAAAAGAACCTCCAAAATGACTAATTTCTCCCAATACTTTCCATGATACTTTCCATGTTCCTTTGTCTTCTGCGTTGAGTTCAAAATTACGAGACTTTTAAGTTGAACATTGGTGGTTGTGAATTCAAAATTGAGTCTGTTGCTCAATGAGTGTTATAGAAAAATAAAATTGTAAAATTTAAGTATAGCAGTATTCATATAGTTACAGTTTAAAATAAGCTTCAGTAATTTTACAAACCTTTTTATTTTTAGCTTAAAATCTAAATCACTTTAATTTGAAATTTAAGTCTAAGTTAACTGAAACAATTTTTTGCATTTTTCCAACACATTTAGTTAAAATTACTTTCATATTTTGTTTTTCTTACAAATAAAAGCATTTAACAAAGATAAAGAGTACATAAATAAAAGGTGGCATTTTAAGTTCTTGTTTACATTTAAAATAAAGGTATTTAATTATAAAATTATGTAATTATTTGTTTTAATTTTCACAATATCCCATTTCTTTTCAGCTCACCAAGACATTCAAAATAGGCATAATGTATTGTAAAGCTGGTCAAGGTACTGAAGAAGAAATGTACAATAATGGTATACTATTAAATTTATTTTCCTTTTCCATAAAATGTTTAATAGCGTAATTAGAATCTCAACATATTTTCAAAATGCTCATAATTACAAAGGCCATGTAATAATCTTTAAATGAATGAAACTTTTATCCTGAATTAAATGATCTAAAATATCAGGAGTATATGCTTGCAATGCATCCTCAATGTTATAATTGCATTAACTTTTACTATAACTAGAACCTCACAAATAGTGCATCAATATTGTAAACTAATTTTGAGCAATGGCAGTGTGGATAGTAAATAGATTTAAAAATTTGTTTCTAAGTACTTATTCTATATATTAAAAAAAAAAGTGAATATATTGAAATAATAGTGTAAAATGTAAATTAATTGCAATTAAATTGTAATTATATTCTTAATAACATGCCATCTTCATATACATATCTATATCTCTGTGTGTATATATATGTACAGGTTTTCTGGCTTTTGATTGATTTCTGGTTTTCTTTAAAAAAAATATTTAAAATTTGACAAATAAAAATTATATATTATTAAAAAAAGTTTGCAACTGCCCTAAAAGTCTGCAAGCAACTTAGTAATTTTTTTGAAGTGTACATTAATTGTAGTGTTGATTTCTATTTATTTTCACTTAAACAATATGTATTGTTTCCTTTAGAATTTGCTGGACCTGCATTTGAGGAATTCTTAGATATGCTAGGACAGAGGGTGCGACTGAAAGGATTTGAAAAGTATCGTGGTGGCCTTGATACTAAAAGTAATTAATGTTTATTTTGACAGTTTTTCTTGTTTGATTTGAATGCGTGTGTATGTTTCAATAATATAAATCAAATGTGCTTTAGATGTATTTATTTTTAAATGACATTATGTTAGGTTTTCATTTTTTTCTACTTGCGGAATCTTTTGAGGTTCTAGGAAATAATTTTTTGTTCAATTCCTGATCTTGAAGTAATATTTTTCTGTTCCATCTTTTGTTCCTAAATGTTTTTGAGGCAAATCTGGAATATGTTTCTTTAAGCCATTATGTAAATTTTATTTCCGAATTGCATGTAGCATATGAAGAAAATTATCATCATGTAATTCAGTTGCAAAGTATTGTTTTATAACAACTTGATATTCCGAACAATGTATATTTTTCTTGCATACCTAATACTGAATTTAATTGTCCTTGTTCGAAATGTTAAAAGTATTGCAAAAATCTATGTTGTATTTTTATTAGGTTATTTTAAGTATTTTATGTAGGCTAATTTTAATTAGTTTATTTTAGAAAGAACATCAATCTAATTTAAGTGCTTTACAATTATGTAAATTCGGATTTAGTCTGCTGTGCTTGTTTTTCAATCTTAAGTACAATTCTCAAATTTCTTTTTTTATAAGTATATATTTTAAGACCCATGTTTGACTTAGATTTTTTTCCCTCTTTCAACTGATTTTTAACATATTTTTTTGTACAAATATATTTGATAAAGCAACATAATTATTGTTTTTTTCCATTAAAACATGGGATTAATTAATTTTTTAATTAATAAATAATTTTATTCATTGTGCTATCCTGGCTTTTAATGTTCTTTTTTCACACAAAATTATTTGAATTTCTTTGTTAGAAAGTTTTTTGAATTGATGTATGTAGTCAGAAATAAATAAAATGAAACACATAATATTGTTTAAATAGTAAATGTTAATTTTCTATTTTTATAGTTTTATTTCCCCTTTTGTCAATATTTCGTTTACAGTTGTTTGATGCTTAGAACTAATTGGAACTTTTTCTTTCTATCAGCTGATACAACTGGCTTGTATTCTGTGTTTACTGCTCATCAAGACTGTGAAGTTATGTTTCACGTGTCAACATTGTTGCCATATACACCAAATAATAAACAGCAGGTACGTTTTGTTATTTCATTTTTGTTTCTCTCTATTTTCATACATTTATAATTGTTATTTTAATGAAAATATAAAATGGACTATTTAATGAATAATAATTCTTTTTACTAACTAAAATAGTCACATCTACAAATTAGCATTTGTTAGTCATATTTTACAGAATTATCTTTTCAGGTATCAGTTTCCACGACCCTTAATGATTTTTTTTCAACAAATGGCAATTGTTAATTTTGAGTAATTAATTGTAAAACATTTTTATTTACATTGTCATGAAGATGAGATATAAATTAGCTTTATTTATTAATTTTCCCTAAAACAGAGAGTTTTAACTTTTCAAGGCTTTACTAAATATTATATTTTGCAGACCATAAAATCTCTAGTTTTTTTCCCTCTGCAATTTTAGTTGCATTTATATCCTTCAAAGCAATAAAAATTATATCTTCATAACTTTTCTTTTTCTTGAACGTTTGTTCAGGGCAGTAAGTTTTCAGGCTCTTGACTGATTTCTGCTTCTTTTAAATATACAAGAGGGAGCAAAATTTAAAAAATAATAAATATAAATAATTAAAAATGTCTGAAACTTGTTTGAACTCGTAAAACTTTTTGTGATGTGCGGTACTATATCAACAGTTAAAAATATAAAAAAATATTGCTATATTTGTTCTTATCTATTGAGCTGGGTGTATAATTTAAAAAATTAGCTATTCACTTTAGTAAAACAATTTTCCTTCAGAAATATAAATTTTTTTTTAATTTGAATTTAAGGAGTTAATAAATTTTTTAAGTTTGAAAACTAATTAAGCCTTATTTAAGTGGCATTACCTATTTATTTCAAAAAAACTATCTACTCTTTATTATCTTAAAATTGTCGGTTAGACTCTTGAGTGAAGTAAATTTTTTGTTTTAGTTTCTTTTATTGATTAGACTTTATGGAAAAAATTTGATTTTATTTATTTGAAAACTTAGAATATACCTTTTCTTTATTTAAATTTTGATAGTTTTTGTATTTAACATCCTTGCAACAACAATATGTGCCAGAAGCAATGGGTTAACCCTTTGACACAGATAGAACACCATTGTCCTTTATATATTTTTCTTACGTTCTAATTGTAAGCTAAACTTTGTTATAGTATTTTTTAATTATGAAAAACAGTCCAACAGTAAATAAAAAGAAATTTAAAAAGGAAATCTGTTAGAATATTGGAATTATATTTGTACTAAATATAAAATCCAATAAAAAGTAGTTTGAAAAAAAATTTTTTTTTTCATTCATATTTAAAAATTTATCAATAGTTGATTTTGTAAATTAAACCTCTGTAATGACTGTTCCTCTTAAAATATTTACTAAAAATAACATTTTCATTGCTCTGTTTTTCTGTATTACTCTACTTCGATGTCTTAGATAATTAATTTTATTTTCAATAGTTATGTTTTGAAATTAGTTTTAATTTTCCATTGATTATTTCAGCTTCTGCGAAAAAGGCACATCGGCAATGACATTGTAACCATAGTCTTTCAAGAACCTGATGCTCTTCCATTCACACCAAAAAATATCCGATCCCAATTTCAACATGTCTTTGTGGTTGTTCGTGTCATTAATCCTTGTTCAGAAAATACATGCTACAGGTAATGATTATTCAGAAATATTTAAATTCTCAATAATTTCTTCTTTTTTATCCTTTCGCTTTTGATAATATGGTTCCACATAACAGTGCAAATCAGGGTGATAAAATTATCTGTATTTATAGAATCATTCAAAAATTAAAAAGGTTTAATTTTATTTTAAACCTAAAAAATTTAAAAGTCAGAAAAAAGAGTAAATGACTATTAAGAAATTGAAAAAGAGCTAGAGCCTGGGGAAATTTAGAACTCCAGCTATAACGACATTTTTAAAGAGTGCTTAACGATGCTTCTTTTTGGTTTATGTTTTTTAAATGCTTTTTAGGGTGCTTTTTTAATTTAGGGTTTCTAAAAAGTGCTTAATTTTCTGTCTTTTAAAAATAGATTTTTTTCTTTGTCGTATTAATTGTCGTTCTAAATTACAAAAAAATGCATGTTTTTCTCTGGAATATTTATCAGAAACTAGTTATTTTATTATGATTATGTAAAGTTTTTGAATTTTTTTTTTATTACTGCACAGATCCTAATTTTATTTTTATTTTGAAAAGTGATTAAAAATATTTTTGAGTGCTTAAAAAGTACTAGAAAGGTTTTAATTTTTTTGTTGAGAAATCTGGCTATGCACCCTGCATAGGGAAAACAAATTTCCAGAGTGCTGTGACTCTGGACTCCAGGTCCCTACCTTTAATTAAAGCTAAGCTTGTCTTATTTAGCAAGAATTTATAATCATTTTATTAAATGCGCTAATAACGTGATGACATATTTCAGGGTGTCCATAAGCCGTTCCAAAGAAGTTCCTTCATTTGGTCCTCCTATCTCCGCTGGTGCTGTGTATCCAAAATCGAAAAAATTTGCTGATTTTCTTTTAGCAAAAGGTAGTTTTATTTTTAAATTTATTTATTATTTTTAAACTTATGAGTAACATTATTTTTTATCCAAAATTTATATTTTATTTTCTCATGTGTAGTGATAAATGCTGAAAATGCAGCCCATCGGTCAGATAAGTTTGTGACCATGGCCCAGAGGACTCGCCAAGAATATCTGAAAGACCTTGCTACCAATTACTGTACAAACACTACTATTGATTCTGGTCCTAAATTCTGTGAGTATATTTATAATTTATTTTTGAATTTTGCGTTTTTCTTTATATTTACACATATATTTTAGATTTAAAGCTTCGATTTTTTAATATTTAATTAAGGTCAAAATTTATTTGACTTATATGGAGAATTTGAATGTAAAGTCCTTCATATAGTGAAAAATTATAAATTTTATATGCAAATTTCTTAATTTAAAAATAAATAAAGTGCGATCTTTGGTTTCAATCTTGAGTGATAGCAAATTATAATTATTCGAAAATTAGTTAATTTATTTTTCTTAAAATTTATGTTTATATTTTTTTGTTTTTAAAATCACCATTGGAAGTTAAAAATATGGAATTTGACAAGCATAAATTAAATCAATGTTTATGGGAGTTCAGTTTAAACTATAAGGGCATTGTTTTAATTTCTTGATAGTCTAGTTCTTTTTTTTTTATGTCATGCAGTTTAGCTTATGATCAAATGTTTGCTGAAATATTTTACCTCTTGCAATCTTAAAGCTAATTGTGTATCATTTATTATTGTTTAATTTTGCAGCTGCCATTCTTTCATTTGGTGGTCGAAAGAAAGAAAGGTGCCGTCCTAGGTTTATCCCGGATCGATATGTTTTAGGTGCAATATCTTGGCAAGTTCAGGTGAGAATATGTTCTATGAATTTAAGAATATAAATAGATTGTGATATGAAATATTGGACCAAATACTTTATTCATCTATTTCAGTGATTCTGCTAGACTTAAGAAACTACAGGTCCTTAGGACTCCCAAATTTCTAGATCCCTTTTAACTTAAGTCAGGTTTTTAAAAAAAACTTATTTAAAATATTAATTTTTTAATTCTTTATTCAGCTATTAATATGCACGTTCTTAGTTATTCCATCTATTGTAAGACAAATCAAAGAATTTCAAAATAAGAAAACAATTCATATTTGAACAAGCAATCACAGTATTTAATTAAGACTGATCAAGCAACAGCATCAAAGAAATGCAATGATGTACGTTGATTCTTTGAATCATTTTAATTTTCTCTTTTAGCTATTAATAAATTATTTTTTTAAAATCTTATAAAGTTTGGTTATCATTTTGTCTACTTAAAAATCTGCTGAATATTTTTCTTCCCTTATATGCGGGAGAATTATGCATGCCAAAAGATGTGTCATAGCCCCCCCCCTTTTTTTTTGTTGCTATTTTGTCATAGCCTATTTTTTTTGCAGGGTATCCACGCACCTGCAAAGTCATTGAAAATCATGGCAATTCATTCATCAAAAATTGACATGAAAAGTCATAATTTTTAGTGATAAATGTTAAAAAAATCATGGAAACGTTCATTATGGATTTGGGGTATTGGAGTCCTCTTTTAGCTATTAAGAAAGAAGGAAGGAAATACTTTTTTTTAAGTTTGATTATAATTTTGTGTATGTCATAGCCTTTTTTTTTCGCTTCCCCTCACCAATTTCCGGTGTATTTGTAAAAATGTAAGCAGAATCATTGCATTTGATGAAACAGCAATATCTTTTGTTAAACTATTTTTTGAATTCTATTCAGGTTGAAGATTTCAGTAGATCAACTCTAATTGATGTCCTGCTTGCCATATCTGTTGATACTCTTCTTGTGATGGATGAGAATACGCAAGAAATTATTTTTGTGTGTCCATGTGCTTCTGTGCTTGGTTGGTCCTCACAGACTACAAGGTATGGACAGTTAATTAATGATAGATATTTTAGTCCATATTTATTATTATGTGCAACTCTGAAATGTTTTTCTTTCTCTGTTTCTTTTAGTTTAAAAGTATTTTATCATCAAGGAGAATGCCTTGTTATTCGATCAAAAGATCCTGATGTTGATGAAATTCAGGAAATAGTGAGCAGGCTGTTAGCTGTCACTAATGGTGCTGAGGTAAGTAATGATCAACTGTAGATACCATATAATGTTGTTAGATTAAGTGATTTTTGTAGTTAGCTTTTTTAGGTAAATACAAAGTATTCCATAGTTTATAGTTGTGTGTTACCTGATTGAAAACATTCGCTTCAAAAATACATAAAAAGGAAATAAAAGTGACATGTTTAAAAAAAGACGCCCATTTTCGAAACTTGCCAGGTGGAGAAATAACGACATAAAAAAGCCATAAAATGGAAAAAATATTGTTTTAATATTTTATGTACCATACTATTTGATTAACATCATCATAAGTGATGATATGGATTTTTTTAAAATTTTTATATTTACCGAATAGGGCTACAATAAAATTATTCTTATTATCGTTGATGCCTGGCAAGTCTTGGAAATGAGTGTCTATTTATGGCGACTGTTATTTCCTTTTTACATATTTTTGAAGCGAATGAAGTTTTTAAACATGTAATTAATATCTTACTGCTCCAGTTTCTTGGGATTATTGCATAATTGTGTAGTTGGATAATAAGCATACTGTATGCAATTTTAATTATAGATTCATAAACCTGTAGTTAGTGTTGCAATGATTTAAATAACTTGTTTGAAAAAAAAAAAGATTTAAATTACTTGACCTTTTGAAAAAGTTATTACATTAAGTCAGTAATTCATTTGCAACAATTAAATATTACTAAGTATATTTGTTGTCTCATCATTGTAAAATAATATTAAGTATTAATAATTTTTATTGTAGCTTTATTTAGTGAATGTAAAAACAAATATCATCATGAATTTTGATGTTGGTGATAATTAACAATTTAAGTGTGTATTCAATTTTAAATAAAAAAACAATTCTAATTTCTTACAATTTTTATTTTACTTCTTTATTTTTTTATTACAGTCACAAGAATTGATACTCAGAAGAAATAGCCTTGGTCAACTAGGATTTCATGTGCAATTTGAGGGAGTTATTACTGAGGTAGAAACATATGGTTTTGCTTGGCAAGCTGGCCTTCGTCAAGGAAGCCGATTGGTTGAGGTCAGTTATATATCTTATAGCTTTTTTCTAAGATTTTAATAACTAAATTATATTTATATGATATTTGAAAGTATAGACGATTGTAATATATTAGAATTTTAAATGACAATAGTGTAACTTGTTGAACAACTATTGATTTGGTGTGTTAAAAAACCGATGAAACCATATGGAGAAAACTAATATGTTTTGATTTATTTTTATGTGCATATGCATCTTAAATTGTTTTAAAAAATGATCTTATTTATGGTTAAAATGCTTTTTCAGATATGTAAAGTGGCAGTTGCAACTCTTTCTTATGATCAAATGGTAGACCTTCTGAAGACATCAATGACAGTTTCTGTGACTGTTATTCCTTCTTTGCCAAATGAGAGACCTCGAAAGTAAGTGAATTAAAAGACATTCATTTACATACTTTTGAAATGAAAATTTTGCTTACGGGGATTTAAAAAATTTTTAATTATCTTTTTTTGCAGAGGTTGCAACCTGCACAATTGCAGTTATCTCTCCGCTGGAAGCATTGGTGATTACGAAAATATAGATATCTGTGATCATGGTGAAAGCCATCACAAGACGGCCACGCCTCGTCAACAATCAGCTTTTCATTCTCAGCGAATCAGCTCTAGGTATGTTAGCAGTTAGAACTTACCCCTGTGGCTGAATCGCGTCGACATTGTCGTTGAAAGTTACAGAGTTCTTGCAGAAAATATTTTTCTTTCGGAAAGAAAGCATTTTGGTTTTCTTTTCTACAGAAATGTACGAGTAAAATTTGAATTGTGCATTTAAATAATAACTTTTTGGCTCGTTCAACTTATGGCGATAGTATGCAGTTATACGATTGCTTTTCCGACAGTTATTGATTTTCACATGGATTTTAAATGTCTCAATATATTTCAAACAATATGGAAAATTCAAATTGTGCATTTGCTTTTTAAGGCAACGATTTTATTGTTTTTTAGCAATTATTGTTTTTGATTTTAATTGTTTTTAAATTTATTTATTAGGAGAATCAAAGCTTGAAACAAATGAGCATTTGAGTAACCTCTTTTGGAAGAGTTTGAATTGAGTGTTATCGTAAACGATCTGTTTTTCGGTATTTACTGCTATGGATTTCATGCTTTTTAATCATTTTTTTGTTAATGTGATAATGCTTTACAAAATGCAATAATGGAAATCATTAATGCGTTTTTTCTCTCCAATTAAATGCGATTATCGTTCATACTATTAGAATAAAAAAAATACTGCATATTTAATGAAAATAATGTTTTTTATTTTTATAAACACAGCGTTTTTATTGCTTTAAATTAACAATGTGTATGTTTGTTATTATTGAAAGTATCTTGTAGAGAGATATTAGTGCTAGATAATTTTGTCCCAGAAAGCCCGTAAAAATTCTGTCACAAAGGAACTTACCTTCACATGTGGCTAAAATAAATCTTTTTTCTGCATTTTTTTATGGTCTGATGATGTTTGATTAAAGAGTTTTGTTTTTCTTTTGTAGAAGAGATGCTCATTCGAATTCTCATCCAAATAGAAGTCCGTCTATGGATCGTATTTTACCAAAGCCTGATGTAAGTAGTCAGACTTTTTCTTCATTTAAATGTTCTTCTTTCTTTATAGTTTGGTTTGGAAGTTAGTCATGGGGGGGGGGGNAACATTTAACTAGGTTAAAACTTGCGGAAGATTCTGGAGAAATTTTGAAAATTTCCTGAGAATACAAATGCAACAAAAAATATACAATCTGCTGAAAGATATAGACCAGTTTCGACGGGTCAGAAACCTGGAGTTACCAGGGAATTTTATTTTAACCTCAAAAATCAGGGAAAGTTGCAATTTTTTTTCTCAAAAACCTGGAATATTCCCTATATTATACCTGGAGAATAACCAGTCTTAATATTGTCAGTTACAGTAATCAATTATTGAGATTCGATTTAAACAATTCTAGCATCTGTTACAATTATTTGTTATAAAAATTTCACATTTTAGTCACATTGAAATGTTCCCTTCCTCATTTAATATTTTTTTTACACAGAAAATATAATATTTCACATTAGAAATAAAAGATTCAAAGTTTTCTGATGAGAATATGGTCTCAATTTTCATTGAAATTTACCCATACCTGGTAAAGTCATGGAATTTTTTTTCTGAAATTGAGTGGAACCTTGATAGACAAATTACAAATAATGAGATAAAAGCATATTAATGAGCTGAAAAATTATTTCTTACAGTTTTATACAATACAATTGAAACAACTCGTTACTTCAGTATTAATGCAAGTCCCGTGATTGTCTGTTTTTCAAGTTTTAAAGCTAGCACATTTCACTGTTTGTGCAATTCACTTTAAATCAATCCACTGCTAGCTTTATTTTTGTCTCTTGCTTTCGTCCCTTTCTCATCGTAACTCTAAATGTCTTATAAAATGTTTGTAGTTTTGTAAAAATCTACTAGTGAAAGTTCAATTCTTTTAAGTAATTTTTCTTATTAGACATAGAGAGACATTTCTCTCTGGTGTTATGCTATTTTTACTATAGGAAATCGAACCTATTTTTATTTTTCTGATAATTTCAAGCATAATGCTATTGATTGTTAATAGTTCAGATTTTTAATTTAACTTGCAAGTTAAGAAGTGAATGTACCTAATGTATATCAGGAGTGGATTAATTTTTGTATTGGAACTAATTTTTTACATAATTCAGTGTTCCTACAGTTCATAAAAGTCCTTAAAAACTGCTTAGTTTTTATTTTGGAAAATAAAAACCCTTAAAAGTACTTAATTTTTGTACAATGTTTTTAAAACTCTAATTTTTCAGTGTCGCTACCCTTGATGGGAATGGTTTTTTCAGTCTTACAATAATATTTTTGAAAAAAATCATTCTTTTATCTCCTAGAATGAGACTATGCATTTGAGGGTACAGCATTTTAGAGAAACAAAATTTTTGGCATAACTGAATATTTATCAGGGTTGGTCCACAACTGAATATGTGATGCATGTCTAGCAGCGAAATATTAAAACTTATTTTAATAATTTCTTCCACACACACACCCCCCTCCCCTCCAAAAAAAAACTTTCTTCATTTGTTACTCTTTTTTTTTTAATGTATGAAATCATTAATAATGGAATATGGATTAGTTTCATAGATGTTAACATTTAACTATTTAAAAATATTTTTAAAACCAAAAAGTTTGCGAAAATTGCCTGGTCCTTCTTTGGCGAACCCACTTAGTTAATATCAGTTAGTTTGGCGAACCCACTTAGTTACATTATAATAAATTTTATTTTGTTTTATTTATTTTTTGTAAGAAAGGTAAATAATTGGCACTGTCACTGGTATTTTTGATGATAAATAATAATACTATTTTTAAGGTCTTTAATTTTTTCATGTCCTTGTTTTTTTCAAAGAAAAGTCCTTTATTTTTGCTTTGTTAAAAGAGTGGAGTTATATAGTTTAAGTATTTAAATCTTATAAAAATACATTTATACCATAATTTGGATATTAGTTACAATTTATTTGCTTGTCATTAATATAAATTTTGTAAATTGTGAAATAGCAAAACTATCATGAACATGTCTTTCTTGATTCTCACAACCACCGAATGTGAGCTCTTAAAAATTCTGTGTATGTTTTGTAATTAATCCCATAGCCACTTTTGCCATCAAAAAGTCTGTAATAAGGCATCATTTTATAGCAGAGTATTATAAATATATATCTTAGAACTTCAAAAAAATGATTTATTCAGTAAATAATGTTTCAAATATTTCTATTTAATTTAAACTTTATTCCATGTTTTCTATTTAGGTGAGAACAATTTTCTCCGATGCAAGACGGGACCACATTCAGCACCATTCCATTCTATCTCTCAGAAACATTCAAGATTCATCTCAAAGCATTCTACCATCACGGTTGACCGCCTACGCCGGTGTTGGCAGCTTGTCCTCGGTCGACCGAGAAGGCAGCCCTAAATCGGGGACAACATTTCCTACTCCTAGATCATCTCCAGTTTACTTGTCCAACTCTCATGATCACGGTCTTCCCACATACGGCAATATTCAAAGTCACTTGCACCGGAGCTTCCACGACAGAAACCGCAATGGCATTTCTCAACGTCTCACCCATATTGGCGGTTTAGTGTCCGCCCGCAGTGAACTTTCTCTCACCGAGGTTAATCCATTCCATATGAGGACTCACTCTCATCAAAAAATATCTGTGTGTCCGCATTCTTCATCGAAGAGTTTATCTCCCACTGATAGTTCATCTGTCATGCAGCGATCGCATCAAAATTCACCTCAGTCACCTCCATCTAAGCAAGGCAACTCATTTTCTAAACGATCTCCTTCTAGTGTCAATTCGGATTATCATTCTGATAGTTCCAGTGACTGGCAACAAGGAGGGACCAGTAGTGCAGGTATGTTGCTTGTGAACTACTTGAAGGTAGTTTTTTTGAAAGATTCATATGAAAAATAACCTACATGAAAATATAATTGTTTTTACTCTTGTTAGTTGAAATTTTTAATTACAAAGAAAAATCATTAAGCTAAAAAATTTGATTTAAGTAAGATTTTGGATAGTTTTATGGCATATAAATATCTTATTATTTAATCTTATTGTTTGTTTCATGATTGTGTTGAAATGCACTTAAAAGAATTTAAACATCATTATTTTATGCAATTAAAAATAATTTTTTTGAATTTTTTTTTATTGCTTTTACAAATTTACTTTCTTTTGAGCTACATATTCATACCTGCCGAGTAGCCTGTATTTTACGACTATCTTCTGTTTACCTGTATATTCTCAAATTTCTCCGTATTTGTTGAAATTTTAAAAGAAATAAAAATGGCAATAAAATATTCGCTAGTGACAAAAATTCTTTTCTTATTCCTCAACAGATGGTGCTATTGCCAGTACTGCAGTACGCTGAGTGCTTATAGTTTATGTAATAAATACGTAATGGTTTTAAAAGAAAAACTTCTTTCGATTAAGATTTATTTGCATATTTTTGACTTTCCTACATGATTATGCATGATGTATCAAAGCTTTACGCACAACACGAAAAATGTTGCTAGTAAAATCTCCGTTATTTTATTTCTCCAATGTTATCCATATTTCTTAAAAAAGTTTTTCTTTTCTTTTATTATTTTAAACTTGGGTTTTGAGAATATGTAAACTAATTAGTAAAACAACAGCAAAGTTTTAAATTAAATAAATTGTCAGGTGCTGGGGTCATTTACTAAAAAATTTTTTGAAAAGTTATTTGTTCATTAATTTTTGCCAGCCAATTAAACTGCGTTTTCGATTGTCAGTTTTGTCTTTTATGTTAACTTAAATTATGTTTTTAATAATAATTAAATCTTATATTATTAATTTTAGGTTACCAGCATTCTATTATTTTAAGATAAATATTTTTCTGCTTCCTGACCCTGTTAATCTATTACTAATAAATCAATATTGTTAAAAATTTTAAAAAACCTATTTTTTAATTTATTATGTAGTATTTATTAAACATGAAACTCTCACCTCAAAAATAATTTTTGACACAATAATGAATTGTTTAAATTGAAATAGTTAATTAGATATTAAAAATGGTTTAGTTAGTTCATACCCTATTTATCACGTTTACATTTTTTTGTATAAACAGCTGTGATTGTTCAGGTCTTTGTATTTATAATTAAAAAGCATTTATTTTGCACTGTCCTAAAATTCAATAAATTTTCTTTTAGATGAACTTTGTGAATCTCGGGTCAGCAATAGTCCTCACAGGCACGTACCGGATTCTAAATCACCCCAATCACTTCTGTCCAGGTATGTCATCTTCATTTTAAAATTTATATACAGTTAAACACGTTTATAAATTTTTACGTGCTTTGCCCCATTTTCTACTAAGCTTTGTCCTTATTCTATAAGAAAATGGATGTTAAACACAAATACTATGGATTTTCAAATGATACTTTTTATTATTTTATTTATGTATGAATAGTGATTAGTTTAATTAAAGTTTTAAGAAGAAATTAATTTTAATTAATACTTATTAGCAGCTTATTTGTAAATCTGGTAGTTGCTTCTTAGGGCAAAATTTGAGAAGTAAAGATTTAAAATAACAAAATGCATTAGCAACCCTTAAATGTTAGCATTTTAACAGTGTAATGCATAAAAATTTTATACTTAAGCTTTAAAAATATACAAGATCAGTGTTTTTCATTTTCAGAAGATTGCTATTTTACTGTTTAAGCTATTTTAAATAGAGATTTAAGCAGTATTTATTTATATAGAAATTAACTTAAGAGTGCGAATATGATACTTGAGTGTGAATATGATCAATTGAAGTCTATTTTTTATGACTTAGCTTTTATAACTTTCCTGTTTAAATAACATAATTAACTATAAGAAAAATAGAACTTTTCATATAACTTTATATTTTTATTATTACAGAAAAATTCCTGAGTCAACACAATCAAAACTAAGCAGACTAAGGCCTGGAGTTACCAGCTGCCACTCTCGACCGTCCAAGCCAACTGTAAATTTTATTGCTATAGCTAGCAGCGGCAGTAGTTGTAGTGGAAGTACAAGTACTTTACAAGAAGACTTGTTTAAATTAATTAATCCTGAGTACCTTGATAGTGATAGCAATAGTGAGGTAAGATTTTTTTACACTGGAATGTTCATGTTTCTATGTTAAGGACTTATGTTGACTTTCTTAGAACATAATACTAGTCTTAAAATATAAGCAGGGCAACTAACCACAGGCAACTAAAATGCAACTATTTTTGGCATAAGGCGACTATGGCAACTTATTTTGCCTGACAAGGCTAAAAAACAACTATTTTCAGGAAAAGGAGACTATTGGGAGACTTTTCTAAACTCCTAGCGATGAATTTTTTTTTTAAAGCATAAATTGAGTGCAAAATCTGAACCCCACAAGATAGTTTCTGAACACACTGAACTTTTTTTTCTTATAAAATAAAAAATGTTGAAAATTTAGAATTGCAAATTTGAGTCTTCACTTTTTAATTCGTTCAATCCGCACAGACTCCATTGTAAGTCTATTTCATTTCTCGATCGCCTTTTTAATGATTATTGCTACAAAATTCCGCTTGATTTTTAAAAAAAAAATATATATATATAAAAATTTAATATATTACGATGCGTGAATTTCGAATTTGAGTAATCACTTTTTATATATATAAACATTTCCGCTTATATAAAAATTATCATATTTGTAACCAACTTGACGGAATGGATCCATGGTATGTGACAATTAAGTCATATTTTTGATGAATTTTTGTTCTTAGCTGGGCAACTATTTTGCTAGTGTTTTGCTACTATTTTCATGTTTTATTTTGTCCAATTTTTTTTCTGTGGCAACCCTGTATAAGCTTATTACAAAAAAAGGACCCAGTGGTTAGAGAATTGGACCCTGGTCCAGAGGGTTTTGAATTTTGGCTCCACTAATACCCATAGAGTACATGAGATAAACGTGTTCTCAAAATCTGTGGAATCTAATTTCTTGCGGTCGATAAGTGAGCAGTACTATGGATACAAAGATTTGGGGAAAATTTAGTCCTGTTTAAAGTATCTCCCCTTTAGATCAATGTCTAAATTCAGAAAGTGGTTTCATGTATGAGTGGTGCTGCTATCTATTGGTGGGGTTCTGAGTTAAAAGTTTCTTTCTTCCTAGGAGTGCTCCCTTGTCAAATGAAAAGAGCACATTCCTGCTTAATTTGCAAAAGGCCAATGGCTGACGAGCTTGGCTTGTTTAAGAGTCACCAGAAACAAGAAAAAAATGCAGTGCTCCCTTGTCAAATGAAAAGTTCACATTTTTGATTTAATTTTCAAAAGGCCAATGGCTGACGAGCTTGGTTTGTTCAAAAGTCACCAGAAAAATGAACTGCAAAAATTTTTTTTCTCCATCAGATTTTGTTCATTCTGTCTTGTAAAAAAAAAAAAGATTTATATTTTGGTTTTAATATTTTTAGGATCCTCCATCATCTCATTTAGATTCGGACACTGGTTCCAGAACTCATCTTTCCACCCCATCATCATCATTAGANTTTTTTTCTTTTTTTTTTTTTTTTTTTTTTTTTTTTTTTTTTTTTTTTTGAAAATTCAATCGTTAAAATAAAATAATCATATTTATTTACGATTTTCAAAGATAAACAAAAAATTCAAACTACTTTCTTGCTGCTAACCCTTCCGTATTTTTACTTATTTTAGCTATTTTCTCTTCACAGAAAATAAGATTTTCCGTATTTTTATTCGTCCGCTGGATAGCTCGTATTTTTGCAATTCAGACGTCATGACCCTGTTGTCTGGCATGAAAGCAAACGAAAAAAAAAATAATAATAAATAAAATAATTGAGGTGGATTTGGGGTGAAAATATTTATTTGCTCATTCAATTAGTCTTGTAAATTTTTATTTATTATGTCTAAACAAAAACAATACAAACAAGCCTTTTAGAAATCCCCAGTTCAGCCTCTCGCGATTTTAATATCAATCATCGATTTTCGTATTTACCTGATTTAAAAGTTCACAATGCGATTCTTATTTACGCTATTCAAACATCGTACATTATGATTCTTAGTTGCGAGATTTAAAAATCCAATATCGCGTTTTGCATTTATGCATTTTTAAAATCGCAATTTTATTATCAAACATCGATTTTCGTATTTGCCTGATTTAAAAGTTGAACGTTGCGAGTCTTATTCAGACGATTTAAATATCGTACATTGCGATTCTTATTTACGAGATTTAAATATCCAATATAGCGATTTGTATTTACGCGCTTTTAAAACCCTATTATGTAGCGATTCGTATTCACGATTTTCGTATTTGCCTGATTTCAAAGTTGAATGTTGCGAGTCTTATTCAGGCGATTTAAATATCGTACATTGCGATTCTTATTTACGAGAATTAAAAATCCAATATAGCGATTTGTATTTTTTCGCTTTTAAAACCCTATGTAGCGATTCGTATTCGCGCGAGCTTAAAATCCTATGTCGTGACTCGTATTCGCGCGAGCTTAAAATCCTATGTCGTGACTCGTTATTGCGGTTGTAATATCAAACATCGATTTTCGTATTTATACGAAATCCAGTCCAATATAGTAATTTGTATTTACGCTTTTTAAAACCCTATGTAGCGATTCGTATTCATGCGAGCTTAAAATTCTATGTCGTGATACGTTTTTGCGGTTGTAATATCAAACATTGATTTTCGTACTTAAACGTGCTTTAAAAATTAAACATTGTGATTTGTATTTGCGCGACTTGAAAATTATGCATCGTGATTCGTGTTTACGTGCTCTAAAAATTACGCATCATGATTTGTATTTCTGCATATTTTAAAATTCTATACAGAGTTTCATATTCACGTGATTTAAAAGCCTCATATCCGGATTCACATTCTCTCTATTTAAAATTAAGGCATGTGATTAATATTTATATATTCATACAAATTAAAATTAATCATCAGGATTTATAATCACATGGTTTACAAGTTTAAAGATCTCACTCTTTTTGTCAAATTTTTGTGTGTGTATATATATATATATATTCATTCATTCTTGGATTTCCTCTTTTTTACTTTCTGACTACTCTCATCCCTGAAATATTTAAAAAGTTCATATAGTGGATTTGAAAGACCATAAAGTGAAATTGCATAAGATAGCTGACACCTTAAGGATATCAAAAGGTAGTGTGTTTGCAATTTTTCTTAAAAAATTTGAGCATGCGTAAGTTGCTTTCGAAATAGGTGCCCTGCTTTCTTAGACCGAACCAAAAAGAACATGTCAAAACTCTGTTTAGAACTTTTAAAGCGTGATACAAATATTTCTTTTACCGATTTGACAATGAATGAAACATGACTCCACATCTACATTCCATAATCAAAAAAACAGCTGAGTGGAAAACAGCTAGTGAAATTGGTCCAAAGACTCAAAAGTCAACAACCAAGGTTGCCATTTTTGGCCTCCGTATGTTGAGACGCACATTGTATTTCGTTCATTGACTATCTTGAAAAAGATTATACTATCAATAGTGAATATTGCATGGAATTATTGGATCAATTGATCGTGGAAATCAAGAAAAACGGCCTCACATGCGAGAAAAGTGTTTCACCAAGGCAATGCCCCATGTCACAAGTCTGTGAAAACAATAGTTAAATTGGATGAATTATGCTTTGCGTTACTCTTCCACCCACCATACTCTCCAGATCTGTCCCCTAGTGTCTTTGCAGATCTCAAAAAGATGAAGGAAAGGGAAAGATATTTGGCTCAAATGAAGTTATTTTTGAAACTGCTTTGAGAGCAAAGACATTGTTCTACAAGAAAGGCATCAAAAAGCTAGAGGAACGTTGGAACGAATGTATCTTTCTTGAAAGGGAGTACGTTGACAAATTAAGTTAACAAATTAATAAAAAAAAATTTTTTTTCTTAGCTTAACCAGAGACTTATTGAGTGATGTGTAAGCGTTTTCTAAATATTACTCCCTGGTACTATACTCCATGTTGGACCGTGACCTCCCTAACAATTAGACTACAAAGCAGTCTGTCTCATGCCTTCATTTTCCAATTTATTATTTTCAAGCTCTTGAGGTCAATTTCAAAATGTGTCCATCTCTTCTTTAGTCTTCCCAGTTTTCATTGACCAAGGCCAATGAATATTTTTCTTTAGTGTGTCAGTTGTCATCCATTTTCAACATTGAATTTTTTTTATGTCTTTGTGATTTTACGCAGCTTATTATATCCTTTTCTTTATGCTGAAACAGCTTTTGAATTTCTTGGTACAGTTGAATTGTTTTATTAGTGTATTGAATACTTTTGATAAAATTTGAAAAAATTGTCAAAGGACGAATAATTTTAAGACTGTTGTTGAAATATTATATTTAAGTTTTTCATATTTTGACCTGTTGCGTAAAATGACTAATTTTCTTCCTTTTTTTTATTTATTCAGGCTCTCTCCACATGTGATATCAGATAGAGTTCAAAATAAGTTCAAACCACTGCCACCTCCCCCTTCATCCCCTTCCCTGCTTTCATTATCTGACAATCGTGACATGGATTGGAGCAATCTTCTCTCATCTGCTTCAAAAGGAAATGAAAGTAAGTCATTAAAAGTGATTGAAAAATGCCCTTTTGTATATGTTATGTTGTGCTAAATTGCTGTTTATAAATTATTTTGTGAATGAAATGTGGTTACTGAAATAGGAAATAAAGGTTGCAGGATATTTAATTAAATTATTATAGAATGTAATCACACTCAGAATATTATTGTAGTACAACAAATTAGAAAGTAAACTCACTTTTCATTTTCTTAAGTTTTATCATTAATAATTTATATATGTCACGGCGAAAGATCTAAATCGGTGGTTGTTGACTTTCACCGGTGAATGTCGACTAACACCAAATACGTCGGTGAAAGATTGAATATTTCATTACATTCTTGTACTTTCATTCTTTTCAATTCATATTATTATTCCAAATTATGATTGAAAGAATATTAATAATAGCAACTATAAAACTTCATCAGGCATCCACTAATGGAAAATGCCTTAGTAAATTTTTAAAATAAATTGCATTTTATTTTAAAAATAATTAGTTATTTAGTTTATGCATTTGGCTAAATTTGCTGATCATTTTCTAGATTTGCCTTTGAATGCTGCCTGGTTAGAAGAAGCTGAGAAACAACTAGGGTTAGACTGCAAGTAAGTCTTATATTATTTTTAACATTTGCACAGTTCTAATTTTTTTTTGCATTCTGACTGTATATGTTGCATTTGCAGTTTTTCCTTTTCTTCGTAAAATGCATTAAAATTAATTTTAAATATTTATGGCTGAAGTTGCAAACTATAACTGGAGAAAAACTTGTTTAAAAGAAATACTACTTTTTTACAGAGATACCAATTTTACTAGATAATTAAATTTCACCTAGCTTTGTTTGAAATTTTCATTCTATATATTTTATAAAATTCACTAAAATGTGAAGTTTTTGAAAGAAGTCCCTGTTAAAATAAATTTTACTCAGTTTACTGATTGATTGAGTATTTTAATAAGTATTAGTAAATAGTGAATTTATTTCCATTTATCAGTTAAAGGCTTATTTTTTAAAGAATATTTTAAAATTTTCCTTTTTTTTCAGAACTTGCAATTTTTAAATAAATTAAAGAATATGTTAAAACTATCATGTATCTTAAATGAATTTAAAAATGTATTTAATGTAAGAAAATATTATGTTTTCAAATTAATCCATTTAATGTTCAGTTATAAATGGAAATAAATTGCAATATGTGTAATATCCAAGAATGAGATTCTTCTGACATCTTGGCTAAATTTCTTAACCTTAGAAAAATTTTTAATATTGCTGCATTTTATTTTACTTAATAATTATTTTATTGTCTTTAGTTATGACTTATATATAAATGTACACATAAAGTGAAAAGGAAAAGAAAAAATAAATATATAAATAGTTTTAATGTTTTCTCTTTGTGCAAAATAGTTTCACATGATTTATTTATTTTCTTCATGATTTTAGTTCATAGGTATTTTCAGACTTTTTGTTCCAACTTTCATGCCTAATACAGATTGCTTTAAAATATTTTATATATTCCATGAGAGTTAGTATTAAATTTAGATTGTGTCAAACCTCCTGAACTTTTTTCTTTTTCATGTTGACAGCTATGGTTTTGATTATTAAACAGAGATGCCAACTATTATGGATTTTATGACAACATTACGCTATTGCGGGCTACTCCCCCAAAATTACGGAAATTTTTTTTTTAACTCATCCAAAAGTTTCATTTTTATTCTATAATATTTCCTTTTAAGAATCATTCTCATTGAATCATATTGGTCGATGAGGACGGTGATCCGAAATGCGTTTTTGGATGCAGTGAGAATGCTCCTTATAAACGTGGTGCTTCTAGCTCTCTCTTTAATGACGTCACTCTTTCGATCCGTCATGTCAATAGCACAGAAATAAGCGGTACTTACTGTCAGCGTAAACAAACGATCTTTTTTGTCACGCTATTTTTTAACGAAGATTTAATGAGCAAAAAAGCCATTATATGTGAATAATCTAGCACTCAATGCAATGGAACGTCAAGCAAAAAAAGCAAAGGCAGGGCTGCCATTGGCGACTAAAAAGTCTACTAAAGCGACTCTTTTAAAGCAATAGCAACTAGGGCGACTATTTTAGTAGAAATATGAGTAAAAACAACTAATTTGCAATGAGTTGCATAAAATCGTCGACTTTTTAAGCCAATTAGCGACTAAAATTAAGAAAAACTTCTTGAGTTTCCCTCTTCCCCCACTTTTTTTTTGCCGCGCGTTTTCATTTCATCCAAACTTTATTTTTCCTCACTGATGTCAAAAGCAAGACAGACTTGTTTAACCAATCACTAATGGAATTGGAATTTGTCTCACTTTGTCTTTTCTTATAGAAAAAGCAAAAGCATTAACAAAAAAGTGTGTTTTGAAAGGAAATTTTCTGATGCTGAGATAAGAGCTGCAGAGCAAAATACTAAATTAGATTTACATATAACAGATAAATAAAAAAATTTTGAAATTTCAGTTTTTTATTTTGTGTTCTATTATACAAGTATGTAATTATGTACCTTTTTAGGTCAATCTTAAACTCAAATTTTATCTTTTTTTAAACAGAACAGTTTTGGAATATGAATTATTAAAATAATTATATAATGAATTAATTCTTATTAATTTTTAATTTATAGTACCATCAAAATAAACATTAAATCTTTAATATAAAAATTATGAGGTAAAACTTTATTATTACTGAAAATCATTATAAGTTATGTGTGATTATTACTGAAATCATAATTTTCAAGTTGGCATCTCTG